GGGGGGGGGGGTCTGCCCCCTACCCCGCCGTATAAGCGGTGCCCTACTGTAGTAGTAACATTAGCACCACATTATGTGGTCTTAAAATTTGATGTGATAACATCTTCAAAATATACACAACTTTTTGTTCAAGTCATAATTCTGCAGCCATTTACATTTATTGTTCTACTTCATAGTAATAAAAATCATGTGCAACTTTCTGTGTAGATTGATTAAGAACAACACACCTATAAATGTATGTCTGTGGAAGATTCAAGAGTGTTCAGATTTACAAATATGCCACTGGTGTAAGATTTTAAGATTATTTCTGGTGAACATAACTGTTTTAGTCTGTATTAGTGACAGTTTTGTGCAGCAAGTGTTCACTAGCTTCACAACACGGATTGGAATGTTGAGGAAAGTAGGCATTACACGTTCCTCTCAGACATTAATGCAGAACTAAATGCAGTAAAAATACACTTAACACAAAAGTACAAACTGAAAATTCTGCAAGCTAGTATTCTGAAAATAGACTGGGTATGAGTGGTGGAAATATATGTGTGAACACACGTACGTGTATGTAGATATCCAAAACACATACCATATACACTCATCAGCAACAACATGGACGTTTGGCACAGGGAATCCATTGAAAGGACTAGCTGTGGGCAAAGTGTAGGCACCCATATCCTCAAATATGATCCAGTCTCCAACAGACATCTCTGGCAACAGGACTTTTTGTACAACCTGATCCAAACCATCACAAGTTGGACCCCAGATTGATGATGGAAACAGCTTACTGATGTGTGCCTGCACATATAAATATAACACTACTAACTATTTGAAGCGCAGTGGTAACTTTATGTCCCACTTTCTTCAACAATCAGTAACTCTTCATTTTATATTAATGTGTTTCACATGATTCTCACCATAAACAGTGATTTTTTAATGGGTAATGGTCGATGGTTAACATGTAATTATACATGTTAAGCAGTATCAGATGATAAGGTGTGTGAGAAAAATAAATTAGTAAGGTTACAGAAGGCAGTGGTCAAGGTCTATTTTAAAGTACTAATAGTCTGCTTATCATGCATAAGGTCCCAACTTTGATCCCTGCCACTTACCATCATTAATATTAAAATAATATAAAAATGATAGCCAATCTGTCAGTATAATGAGAACCAATCACCTGAAGGCAGGAGTAGGGTAAAATTCTGAAATATTGTGTATATCAAACCTGTCTCGGAAAACGGACAAAGTCAACAATCTTGTAGTAAATGAATCAACCAATGTCTAATACCTTTAGAGACTCGACTTGGAGGGATTTATGATAACCATAGGAAACCTCTGTGACAAAAGACAATTTTTGGGCCATGACTTGAACCTGGGCTGCCTAATTCTAACCAATACACCGTGACATTCATTAGCTTCTTAGAGCAATTCAAACACCCAATTACACATTTATATAAATAAAACCTCTCAATCATGGTCTGTTATGTAAGACTAATATTTGAACTAAACTCAAATGGAGAATACATAGTACAAAACTGCATGATTCAGTCACATGGTAACATACAGGTTTTACTTGATTAATTCTTAAGCTACTTAACTATGCTTGTTTAATAGCAGAGGCATACATAGCATTAAATGAGGATGGTCATATGAATGATGAACAGGTAGGGAAGGAGGCAATCATACTCTATTTCAAAGTGCTACCCTGGTACTTGCCTAGAGAAAATGAATAACATGACATCCAAGACAGCTGGTCACCCAATCAAGATTCAAACAAGGTATACCCAATACCTATCAAGAGTATGCCTTGTGGGTTATTAGGAACAAGTAATGAAGCATGAACGATGAAAGTACAGCCAATTGTGGTAAAGAGAGCTTCACAATACAGACTGCTTGAAATATGGAAAGACAATATTAAAATGAACATTACAGAAACGGGCTGCAATGACGTGAATTGGACTAGATAGGGTCAAGAGGAAGGCTTCTGTTACACGTGTAATAACATACAAGTTTCATAATAATGATAATTAAACATCTGTCAGGAGAGAAATTAATGTATCAGACTAAAATTTTGTAATTTTTATAATTATCCAACAATAAAGGAAGACACAGAGTTGATTTTTTTCAGATTCTAGTGAAAAGATGACACAAATTTTTGTTTCATGAATGATCAGTTAAAGTTCAACAAGAATAATGTTCAATGACTCACTTTGGTATTAGCAGCATCAATGCATCAGGTTTATCAACAGAGAATTAATTATAATGAACTGAGAAATATACTTTGGATGTAATGGTTACTCACAATACTTTCACTTGATTAATGAATTAGTAAAAATGTCATGGAGTTCTGCCTTCATAAGGTTCATTCTCTTTATCAATGAAACCATGGAATTTCATCTTGACACTGAGGAACTATGAGTAACTATATTATGTTAGAGCAAGAAATTGGTAAATAACTCACATTAAGTGGGATGGGAGTAACCTTGGCATGATCATAGAGAAGTGCATTAAAGCTTCCATAAACACCATCATTGATGTAGTACATGATGTGAGCCACTTCCTCACCACTGGGGACCTCCCTCTTGGAGTGAATATTAGTAGCGAGTATAAAGGCTGACGCTACAAAGAAGCGTCCTGGCTCAGAAATAACTCGCACCAGTTCTGGATTAGGAAAATACTCATCCAATGCAGAGTTCACCACCTCAGCAATCTGCAAGTTAATACACCAAGAAATGATAACAATTTTTTTGGATTAACGAGTTACTTTCAAAGTGCACTGTTTATATAGCATATATAGTACTGACTGTGAATAATGAATTTTAAAAGATTGGTAAAGAAGCAATCATGGAATATTTTAAGGTACTATCCCAGCAGCTGTCTGGACTCAGTTCCTTTGATAACAAAGAGCTTCAGTTTGGTATATGAATGGTGATCTGTTCTCAACTGTAACCCTGGATATCTTGCTTCTAAAAGTGTTTCATTCTCCATTCGGAGTAACAGCTGATAAGTCTTCTATGTGTCAAAATATTCTGTACTGCCATCTCAGCACTCTACATAATATTACTATGACATATAAGATTCTTCTGACCAGTGAATCAAGCTGTACTATAAAATTCTGTATTCAATATATAAATTATTGCATTTATGGGGTCTAAACATTTAAATGCCCCTCCCCACTTCACATAATGCCACTCCTTTTAAATACTCAATTTCACTCACCTCATCAATGGATGTGCCCTTATTACCAGGGTAGCCACCACCAATGTCTAAGAGGTCAAAGTTATACCCTAAGGTTGTCCCAATGTCAAACACCATTTTAGCTGATGATATGGCCTGGTAAAAAGCTGCTGGATCACCACAGCCAGATCCAACATGAAAACTGACACCCACAATATCAAGCCCAAGAGACTGAGCAACTTTTAGCAAATGAGGTGCCTCAGTCACTGCATCACAACCAAACTTCATTCCCAGCTGACATTGGGCTATGGCAGCATCAGAACGTATACGAATCACTAATCTGTGGGTCACAAAAATGCAAAAAGGAGCTATTGATTTTCATATTGCTGAGTTCATTTACACTTTACACTGAAATATCTATAAAACAAACAAGAATCTTAAAATTACAAACTATTTCTGAATCCTTGTCTATGTATAATACTTTACTGCAAAATTCAAGAAACATTCAATTTAAATTTTACAAAAATCAACATTTAAAGAGAGTTTAATGTCACTAACACACAACTTTGTCATAAATCATACTGCATGCCATTGTTTCTCAACCAATGTGCAGAGTCAAATGTGCCAAAATACTATGAATTCAAATTCAAATTCAAACACATTTCTGCACATTCAACAATTTACAAAGTGCATTAATGTGTTTAGCCCTGTTTTATCAGTCCACTCTGCTGCTTCCATATTCTAATTTTTAAAAAAAGTAATAAAAAATAAAGCTGTCCCACTCCACACCATGTAGGTGCTTAGGGGGAGAGGTAGTATAGCTCCTCATTCTTAACATTGGAAATAAAAATGGAGGTAAGTGGTCAGCCACACTTAACCCCTGGGGAAAGGACCCCAATACTCAATGTAGAGAAACCTGGGTTTGGATGCAGAGGGTGAAACAAAAATCCTCTGCCACTGTTGGAAATCAAAACCTGGTTGTCCAGTCTGTAGTCAGTCACTACACTGACTGAGCTAGCCCGGTTCCTCTTATTCCTTCACAATCAATGTTAAATTCATAATATACAGATACCAAGCAATGTGAAATAGTTCGGCAATATCTGTGGGTGATGACCATTAAAATGAGAGAGAACAAAGACTGAAGGAAAGAGGCAGAATGTGCACAAACTTCTGCTATTATTCACCAGAACAGCATAACATCAAGTAACAAACCACAGGACTACTGCTCATGTTTGTTAGGCTACAGATATATTCAGCAGGTAACGTCCCCCACCCACTCAAGCAATGATATAATGTGTTTGAACAGATTTTGTGTACAGTTGTCACACCACTATGCAGGTGACAACCACTAAAATGAGGGTCTGAGAGAGACAGAACGCACCAACGTCTGTCACCAACCTCAAAATTGTAATGGTTTATGTGACAATCTACTGGGCTACTGCCCATGTTTGGTAGATATTATTCACCAGAATATTATGGTTTGTGTTAGAAACCATTGCCCATGCTGGTTAGGCAAAGGATACATTTCTTTATGCTCCTTTCCCCCACTCATTCCAATGATGACACAGTTTTCTAATATATATTTCATGTGCCCATTCTAACCACTAATTTCCAAAGATAAGTTTGTTAAAAGTGCACCTCTTCCAGTTCCCATTCACGGATAACATTTCACTCCTCTGCTGAAACATTGGTGATGATGATGAGACTTTCCAAACAATTTTGTTTTGCCCCTCATCATATCAAAATATTTTATTGTATCAAAAACAACAATAATACAGCACTTCTTAATCACCTGTGATACAAAAAATATTCTGATATGGACACATCAGTTTTAATGGATGCAAACGGGGGGGGGGGCTTATATGCAAGTGAAATGGTACAAATAGGCACCACATTGATACATTTGCAATAACACGTAAGTGTGTAATTATATCAGAAACTGTCACTGCTGCAACTAATTCCAGAGTCACCCTTACTGCAAAACTATTAATACAATCTAAGAATGAAATCATATTAGCCCAGTAGTTCTTAATCTGACATTATTATACGTACTTTGCAGTAGGGAACAAGTTCTTAATCTTGTGCAGCTCACATTCATTGTCGAAGGTCATGATATCAACTCCAAGGGTAGCTGCATAACGGATATGAGAGGCTGGTTTGGCAGGATTGGCAAAGATGATACGTCTGGGATCCACCCCTAGCTCCAAGATCTTCTTAATTTCTCCCTGTAGACAAGCATGACGTTGATACAAGAGAAAATTTTGACATGACGTATTTCCATCTGGTTATGATATATGTCAATGTCATGTAGGTCCCTTGTCACCATCATGTCACATCTTCAGGTAGAGACAGCTGCCAGATAGAGGGTAGCTGGAAATATCAAATAAGTAACCACAAGGTGTGATCCTCAAACTTTGAAGTTGGGGACTAGCAGCATCTCACCATACACACATATGTGCTTGCACGCACAAAAGTTATGAAACAACACACATCACCTCAGACTTGGAAAAATTCTTTGGTATGCCTTGCATAACAGAAGGCCATACATGAGATATGAAACTTGGAACATCAGAAATCACTATACGACAAGTTCACTGAAATTAATATCAAGATAATTATCAAAAGTATATTTTAGATTTATTGACTATAGAAGAGGTCAGATGGGACAATTGTGGCAATAAATCAATACTAATCCATAAATATCTATGGAAGTACAAAACTGAGCCAGAAAAATTGAACAGTACCTGGGAAATCTAGGCACAGTTAGTAGGACATTAGAACACATTTTAAAATGGCATGGAATTAATTCAACTCCCTCACAATAGGATTCAGTATCAGGCTCTTGTAATCACAAAACTAAACCTTTGGGACACATAAATAGCAGGGGATTTCCTGATCAGCTATGCAACAATAAGTCAAAGACTTTGTCCTATGGAGTACATGTACAATGAACACAGATAATCTCATGCTGTTCAACTTCTTCATACTCATGCTACACACCTTTGTGTCAATATATGGTGTCTCACACTCGTACATTACTATACATTCCTATAAGCAAGCAAAAACAAATTTCCCATACCCCTTTTATGACACATATCAGAGATAGATTCCAACTTTCTGGCTACATTTTAAATTACAAGTTAGGATTTTTGTTAAAAAGTGCTGTTTCCAAAAATGAAGCACAGCTAGAATTCATTATTTAGCACAAAATCCAAGCAAAGATTGGAAACTTTTAGCTAGATTAAGTAATAAAATTACTACACAGTGCATGAATTAAAGTAACGGTAATGCAGAATTCCTAAGCTTGCCTGATATTATAAACAATGAGACAAAAGAGATGTTGGTGAAAGGCCAAAGAAAGACATTGTCTGACCACACAAATTAAACTACAACATACTGATTACAACTTATCTATATGTGTGAATTTATGAGGATAAGTTCACTCTTAACACTGATAAAAATTATAAACCTATAATGAAAACAGTTATAAGACTAAGGAAATGCTGGAAAGATGATTCTAAATCTATGACTACAAGACATGATTCATTCTACTGTACTGGTTCAATTTAAACTGGAATTTTACCACAGAATATCAGCAAATTATCTTGTGCACTTCATACTACACATTTTTCTCAACTTACTCCCCTAATGTATGCACACATTTGTCCCACACCTGCAGTACAGAACTTTTAAGACAGGTTCAAAATCCATGTAAACACTGAAAGTTTTGAATCAAATGTGAATCACCCTTGTATGACATCTAAATTGCAAGACACGCTGTAAAACATAGTTACACATTAACCATTTAACCCGAACAGAGTTAAATATGCACAAAATTCAAAATTTTATCTTCCAGACTACAGAAATTTTGCACCGAGGGCAGTTAAAGTCTTGGTGAAAAAAGTCCAAGTTAAAAATAAACAGTTCACCTTACCTTAGAGGCACAGTCAAAGCCAGTGCCTAGTGCAGCCAGAACTTCCAGAACAGCCAAGGAGTCATTACACTTCACAGCTGAAACAAATCACATTAGTGGTAATACGCAGCTGTTACAGAACAGTCCTTCAACATGAAGGCAGTGCATACTAATTCAAAAGGTTATTTATATAATTTTCTTAAAGGCTTAATCCTTCATTACTATAAAATGTACATGGTGCAATTACTTCAATTAATGGTCCCCTTCAGTGTGCATTACATCAATCAGTTCAGTTTAGGTTTGCATGAAGTATATACTTCACCTTCGATTGCACAGAAAAACAAGACTAAACTTATGTAGTCCAGTGGAGTCCTCATGTTACCTAAATTAACTATTTTCAATTCTGCATGCCACTGGTTTTAATGTACATTTATTCCATACAAAAATCAGATACCACATGCCATAAAGTCAGAATTACTTTTCCCAGTACTTCATATTCACCTTATCATAACGTAACTTGAACGTTTCAAACATAACGAGTTATACATTTTACACCACATACAAGTTTTCTGTAAGAAAAATCTGGAAAAATCTAATATTCAAGCATCATGAAAATCGGAAGTTACACCGGCCTGATACAAACAAAAATTATATTTGCCGAACATATTTTTGTATAAACGTTAAATTTAACGAAAAACTATGGAACAAAATATGCAGTGGAGGGACAGACACAAATTCTCTATTATGCATGTACTTTATGCACTATGAGTACCAGATGCACATACTGACATATTTTTGTGATTCAGTCATTCATACCATAGTGTGGTTCAACACGTGGCATCTTCAGTTTCCATTCCCTGTGTTTGTGCACAATGTCTCCAATGTCACAAACATAGAAAGCTTCTTCCTGAACCTGTCCAGAATAAAGAACAACTTGATAATCACACTTCCACCATGCAGCATACAAACTACAGCAGTTAAGTACCAATTCTACATTTCACCATTGCATTTTCCTAGTTTATACAAACTGATGATGCTGAGTGGAGGACAGTATTAAAATGGATTTTAAAAAATAAGCTGTGAAAGAGTGGTCTGGACTGAACCTTCTAATGGCAAGTTTAGCAATGACCAACAGAAATATGGGTTCCAAAACACATAACAGGAACATTTTTTAATAAAATTATGAAGACCTTATATCATGGAGTTGTTTCTTGACAGGTTGACTTAATTACTCTGTATCAGCTGCACATTCTACATCAACGGGATCAAGTGACAGGCTAATTACGACATTTAGGAAGACTGCAAAGCAAAAAGATGTAATTAAATTTAAGACACTATTCTGACATTTAAAACACAGAGGAAAGCCCTTAAAACCTGCAGCATAGGCAATCTCTCTACCTAGATTTTAATTCAGACCACCTGAATATGAAGCAGGAAGGTTTACCTTTAAATTGTGATATTTTATATTGTATCCTACACTATTTCTACAGCCCAATCAAAACAAATTAATCATTACTCACTCCAGATTCAGCAATATCACGCACAACTTTCCAGGAATCAGTTTCAGAGTCCAGTACGTGAATTTCCTTGTCAAGATTTGTAAGCTTCATCTTGGTTGTTTAAAAGATTACAAATGTTAGTGAAGTCAGTAACAGATCTATGATGTTTGGGGTTGACAGTTATAGAATATGTCAAAGATACTAAGAAAGGCTTGTTGGAACAAGTGAACTGAAACAATAAACAAAGATAAGCACATTTGGAACACTTTCTTAGCCACTAATTCTGCATTCTAAGCGATAGAAACATTCAGATGATCACACTGTGCAACAAAAATTAAAGGATACACAAAATTCAGTTCCTGTTTTAAGAGTCCTTGATATAAATTAAGTAAAAATTCAAATGGTTTGCCAGCGTTTCAGAGGTGCTTACTGCCTCAATCATTAGGATGCCCTAAAGATGATGATGGCAACTAGCACCTCTCACACATCACAGATGCACAAGTATTTTCCCTCCACCCAAACAGAGAAAAGTGCATTTATAATTTTCATTGTTTTTCTGCTAAAAAGTGCAATATCTGAGTTGCAATTACTTGTTTATTCACTGCAACTGTTGAAACATTTCTCAACCCTTTTTTGCTTCCACATGCAGGTCCCAATTTTTCTGGGTCACACTTTGTTTCTATAATTCAGCATCAAGAAGTTTTATTTTCTTATAAATACAATATGGAGTCACACTTACGAGGCAGCCTTAGTTCAGTGTTGGGCAGTTTGTTATAAATAGTCAAAAGAACCTAACAGGAGCTGAAGCAGGAATCACTAGCAGCCCAAGGTGGTTCCCCGTTCAGAGAAAGCCTCCAATTGGACTTGTACAAGCAGAAACCTCTTGCTGGGCTCTGAACCAGCCGAATGGAGATGTTACAGCCCTGAAAGTAACATTACAAATTCTTGTAAACATTAATTTCATCTAAGCTTATCTCCATACTGACACTGATAATTTTAAGGTAAAAGGTAAAACATGATAAATTGTGCTGATCCAATATTAATGATTTATCAATTCTTCACTTCTCCTATATGGCACAGAAAAAGTTTTGTAACTGGAGCAGGAAGACACAAAATAAACAAAAATCCATATTTTTAAGGAAATGCAAATTATGGAGTAACCCACTACCTCCATGAGCAGAGTCCTTAAGCAGCTAATATCCTCCCACCTATGCCCATATTTTCCAAGCAATCTTTCCCTCAGGAACCAAACCTTTTGGGTCCTTAGTACATACATTATTTTAATTTATTCTGCAAATGAAAATTAAAAAGTTGAATAGGGCCAACCACAGATTAGTTTACTGTATGTCTGAACAGCTTCAGAACACTGTACAGTTCAGAAAATTATTTCCAATTATTTACTCTTCTGACATCTTTTGGTATATAAATTATGCCCAGTCTTTGTAAATTACAAACAATAACAATTCTTTAAATACAGAATGTTTGTTCGTGAGGCTGTCCAACCTGCGGCAGTAACAAACAGTTCCCTGGTAAACAACTTACCAGACCTACTTTAAGCACATCCAAAAGCCTTACAAAGTACTCTTGAAAATTAGTTCTATCATAACTAAATTAGGCTTACTTGATATGTAAGAAGACCAAATGAAACATTTACCTCATGACATGAAATTTAATATATTTAGTTAACAGCTTCATAAAAGTTACAAATACACATTTTGTTGAAGAAAAACTTTTATAATCAGAAATAGGGGTTAAGTTACAATTCACTCATCATTATGAACTCAAGGACAATGACCTCTTCTTTCTGTGCCCATTACAATTTGATTTGTTTCCTGCAATTCTTTGGGAAAATACTGTGTTAAAAATGGAGGTGTAAATTGGATTTGTCTGGTTGAATAGGTGGAGAATTTTTTGACTATAAGCTTCTCAAGAAGGACTCTGCACCATGGGGTTGGTGACCTTGCCTATTTACTGATACTGCATATGTAAGAGATTATTTGTAGCCCTGTCTGAACCAACCCACTACTTTAGCACTTTTGTTTACAGAAAATCATCACTGCTAACACATTACATACAACATAAATATCATTCTCAATTAACTTATATTAAACACTTTCCCAATACGGTAAATATTTCACAAAATACAAGGAAAAAATAATCTCTAATTCTGTGAAGTGACAGCTGTGGTGTGATTAGCTTAGAAACATATTATTAACCACAAAGCCAAATGAAGGATGCAAAGAAAGAAAAAATAGAGGAAAAAGAAAACAGGAAAAGGAAAATGTGTGTACTCAATCATGGTACACTGAGAAAATAAGTTTCATGAATTTCTGGTGGTGTTCCCTTTACATTAGACTTTGTACAAAGAAAACCCAAGTGTTACTGGAATGAAGATTTCTGTCTTCTGGGTTGTTGCACTGTGTAGTATGGTAGATGTTTACTAATGTTTTGGAGGCAGTATGACCTTTGGAATGTTGGTAAACATCTACCAGACTACACAACACAACAACCCAGAAGACAGAAATCTTCATACTCACTGCTGTGAAAATCTCAAATCTTACATGTTACTGGAATGTTATCACACAGTTAATTGAAATATCTTAGTCTTCTGGAATGCATAAAACAGTGACATCTTCAACATATGTACTGTCCATGCACCAAGAAAAGTCTGTTGGGAATAAGGTAGGCACAAACAACTATACTATATTCTTCCACAAAACATATGTCCATTCCCACAGCAATATTCATATTCAGAATGCACTGAACTACTGGAGACTAACAAAGTACAATGTGATTGGAATGGCTGGAGTGCTCATGGGCAATAAGATCACTCCCTTTCTCCTGCTCCTACTTCCAAGCAGACTTTTCTTGGTGCGCAGACAGCAGTGTTACAGCTACACTTTTTTTTAAAAAATTTCATCAGTTACACAGCAGTAAATGATAAATAATTTGGCAATTATGACTAATGAACTTCGAAGGACATTAAGGAGAAAACAAATACAGATGATCATGTATTTCTAAGTTTCCTTACCAATGTTATGTGAACAGCAGCTGTTCTACAGAATTAAAAGAAAAAAGGAAGATGATTATGAATATAAAATCACAAAGATTGCAGAAATAAGCAGTTGTGACATGTTTGCACGGCTAGACTAAGCAAAATAAAAAAAGTCAAGATATCCATCTAGTAACTGAAACTTACATCAGTAACCTCTCAAAGACAAAAATGTAATGCTAAATGACTACATAGAAAGTGGTTTACCTCAAAGTAAACTGTTCAATAAATGCAAACTAGAAAAAATAAATCAACAAAAAGAAATTTATAAAAACAGAATATGTGTAGATTGAATCTGTCTCTATTAATTCATGTATCTATGATACTATATGTCCTGTGCTGTAGCCGCGCGGTCTGAGGCATCATGCTTTGGACCGGTGATACGGAATGCGCGCTGGTTCGAGACTCGCGGAAAGAAATTTCTCATGATATTTTCGACCGGTGTATGGGACCGGTGCCAACCCAGCATCGTGAAGAAATTGGGGAGCTACAATGGGTAGCGTAATCTGGTTATGAAAACTAGCAATGGCTGGGGGATTCATTGTGCTGACCACACGTCACCCTATATCTGGTTGGATGATCGTTCACCTCTGCTTAGGCATGTGAACGTGAGGCCAGCAGTCAGCTAGTCGGCTGTGGCTCGCATAGGGCTGTTATGCCACGGATTATTATGATACTATATACATAATAAGTTCTGTAAGATATAATTGACTCTGATGATCAGTTGCATCATTTGGAGCAGAAGTCCAATGTTTGAGAGACCTTCTCTGTCTCATCACCAGAGAGTGATGATGTCTGTGTAATGTGGATCTCTAAGATGAGTGAATTCAACAAAGAAGACATTTGTTTTATCTGTGAAGCATGTATTGATTTTTAAAGAACACAGTATATGTATGACTAATTCCAAGGTTATTTAATGTAACTGTTTTAACTACATAGTTCATGTAGCATCAAATAAGATGGAAACACGAGAGTGAATGATGAGTGGTTAAAAAATCAGAGGTATTTATGATACAATTCTAAGCAGAATGCTCAGTCTCTGGGCTGAGAACCAAGCCCAGAACCTACAAGTTGTAAAACGGTGCTAACCACCCAAGCATATTTGGTGCTAAATGTACATTACCTACAAAACTACTTAATAATTTGTCTCAAATGCTAATAAATTAAATTAATTATAATTGACAAATATGTAAAAAAACTTACTATATTCCATGAAGCACAGCTTATCAACTGCCCCTCATTGACATAATACCAACGAAACATTAACATTTTAATAAAGGAAAAATCACGAAACATTAATACATCACTTGTTAATAAAAATTGTAAATATCCAATTTACTACTTATACATGGCAGTTCCTAAAGAAAACACACACTTCACGTTCCAAGTGGTTACTTTAGATAACACAGAATATGTTATTTTATAATACTACACTTAAAGAACGAAGAATAATACGAGATACACTTGATGTGAACCAAGATGAAATGCATACCTGGGAATATCCCAAGTTACGAGAGCACCTAGCTCTTGGAATTTGGAATCTCATTCACTAAGATGATACAAGAATCTCCTTAAAGGAAAACAATCCAGCTCTCTCATAAGATGACTGAAAGGCGGTCGACGAAGCCGTTTTCTGAGGTTTATTTTTACAATACTGTTCACTTCTTCCCTCTTATCTCCAACCCTCACTTAACACAAATCTGTGATATAACTTCTTTAACCAGCCTGGTGACTGGAATCCTAGTGCTATACCACAAATAGAAAAAACAGATTTCAAACTGGCTAGTTTCAGAAGCCCAGGAAGACTGTAGAAGAGCGTTTCACTCCTGACACTCGTTCGTAATCTGCACTTAATACTGAATTCTCCTGTTTTCAAGCAGTCTATATACACAGCAGCAAACCCAAAGATCAAAGTTCACTTCATACTCTCAATGGGGAAGGGGGAGGAGAGGGCACTCATCAGACCTTAACAGATGCTCAGGGGCAGAGTCCTGTGAAGATGTGTTACCATATATGGAGCAAACTACCCAAAGCTAGTAATGTTGACTGCATGTTCATGAACATGCAAGTAAGAAAAGAAAAGTATACTCCAACAGAATACACATATTTTCAAAACACATTATTAAGAAATTTGCATTTCTGTATGATACTGATCTTCATTTATTGCAGATACAAATAATGTCATTTGTTTCTGCATCTTGTCAAATTCTTCAGCTAAAAATGAGTATTAAAATTTGTAGTATAAATAACCGGGGTCCGCAGTGGCCACTTGGTCACTGGGACCGTGGGTTCAATCCCACTCAAGCCAGGAATGTTTCCCGCGTTTTTCTGTGTTGTGCTGTCCTGTGTACAGGCAGAGGCTTCGTGACAGGCCGATCCCTCATCCAAGGTGTCCTACCGAATGTCTATAGATCAAATCAACAAACTCGCTCAGGCACTTAAAGAACGGTTCGTTCCCAGTATCCAGTAATATAAAGAACCATCACTGACAATGCTAATTAAGAATACAGGAATGTTATTCTGCTTATATTAAAATATTTTTAATGACAGTCTGATAAACTTTCAAATAACATTCACAGATCTTAATTAAATTTACACCTTATGTCATGCACCAATTCTCTGTATAAAGAATATTTTTTTAAAACTGAAAGTTCAATCTGAGCTTCATATTGGACAAGTGAAGATCAAAATTATACCAACAACTTTTGATCTAGCTCCATACACAGATTGTACTGAAAATTGATTGGGAAATCTTGAAGCCTACACATGTAAATAGAAACAACCTCCATAATGCATTCATGTTACACATTCTGTGCAAAAACACAAAATGTATAAGTTCACACACAAGTCACTGTACAGAAGGGAAAGATTACTTTGGATTTCTTGGACAAGCCTAAACTCAAGCAAAACAGTGTGTAATAATACCAACTCTATGCTCTATGAGTAACTTTTCAGCAACATATTTTTATCTGCAGTAAATAAACATCAATGCCAATAAGGTATGCACATGTGGTAACTGTATATCATTGCTAACATTAGTTGGTCTTATGTGCGATTATCAACATTACAGAAAAATAGTACTCCAATTTCTGCATGTATTAAATCTTTCTGAATCACATACAAATATGAAACAATTTGTAACAATTCAATCTAATAACTCAGGCCAATCAATAAAAGTAGCAATGGCAAGCTGAAGTGTTACAGCATGCTACATTCTCCCCACTTCTGCTATGATTAGTTTATATGCCCCTATTTATGCCAGCTGGATGGCTTTGGGTCATTACAATCTGACTTTCAGACCATGTGGTACATCATCTAATCATTATCAGTACTGTCAGTCAATATAAGTAATGGACAAGAAAACAGAAAATAAACAGAACAAACCATACATGTATAAAATAACAGCACACAGATACTATATACATAATAAGTTCTGTAAGATATAATTGACTCTGATGATCAGTTGCATCATTTGGAGCAGAAGTCCAATGTTTGAGAGACCTTCTCTGTCTCATCACCAGAGAGTGATGATGTCTGTGTAATGTGGATCTCTAAGATGAGTGAATTCAACAAAGAAGACATTTGTTTTATCTGTGAAGCATGTATTGATTTTTAAAGAACACAGTATATGTATGACTAATTCCAAGGTTATTTAATGTAACTGTTTTAACTACATAGTTCATGTAGCATCAAATAAGATGGAAACACGAGAGTGAATGATGAGTGGTTAAAAAATCAGAGGTATTTATGATACAATTCTAAGCAGAATGCTCAGTCTCTGGGCTGAGAACCAAGCCCAGAACCTACAAGTTGTAAAACGGTGCTAACCACCCAAGCATATTTGGTGCTAAATGTACATTACCTACAAAACTACTTAATAATTTGTCTCAAATGCTAATAAATTAAATTAATTATAATTGACAAATATGTAAAAAAACTTACTATATTCCATGAAGCACAGCTTATCAACTGCCCCTCATTGACATAATACCAACGAAACATTAACATTTTAATAAAGGAAAAATCACGAAACATTAATACATCACTTGTTAATAAAAATTGTAAATATCCAATTTACTACTTATACATGGCAGTTCCTAAAGAAAACACACACTTCACGTTCCAAGTGGTTACTTTAGATAACACAGAATATGTTATTTTATAATACTACACTTAAAGAACGAAGAATAATACGAGATACACTTGATGTGAACCAAGATGAAATGCATACCTGGGAATATCCCAAGTTACGAGAGCACCTAGCTCTTGGAATTTGGAATCTCATTCACTAAGATGATACAAGAATCTCCTTAAAGGAAAACAATCCAGCTCTCTCATAAGATGACTGAAAGGCGGTCGACGAAGCCGTTTTCTGAGGTTTATTTTTACAATACTGTTCACTTCTTCCCTCTTATCTCCAACCCTCACTTAACACAAATCTGTGATATAACTTCTTTAACCAGCCTGGTGACTGGAATCCTAGTGCTATACCACAAATAGAAAAAACAGATTTCAAACTGGCTAGTTTCAGAAGCCCAGGAAGACTGTAGAAGAGCGTTTCACTCCTGACACTCGTTCGTAATCTGCACTTAATACTGAATTCTCCTGTTTTCAAGCAGTCTATATACACAGCAGCAAACCCAAAGATCAAAGTTCACTTCATACTCTCAATGGGGAAGGGGGAGGAGAGGGCACTCATCAGACCTTAACAGATGCTCAGGGGCAGAGTCCTGTGAAGATGTGTTACCATATATGGAGCAAACTACCCAAAGCTAGTAATGTTGACTGCATGTTCATGAACATGCAAGTAAGAAAAGAAAAGTATACTCCAACAGAATACACATATTTTCAAAACACATTATTAAGAAATTTGCATTTCTGTATGATACTGATCTTCATTTATTGCAGATACAAATAATGTCATTTGTTTCTGCATCTTGTCAAATTCTTCAGCTAAAAATGAGTATTAAAATTTGTAGTATAAATAACCGGGGTCCGCAGTGGCCACTTGGTCACTGGGACCGTGGGTTCAATCCCACTCAAGCCAGGAATGTTTCCCGCGTTTTTCTGTGTTGTGCTGTCCTGTGTACAGGCAGAGGCTTCGTGACAGGCCGATCCCTCATCCAAGGTGTCCTACCGAATGTCTATAGATCAAATCAACAAACTCGCTCAGGCACTTAAAGAACGGTTCGTTCCCAGTATCCAGTAATATAAAGAACCATCACTGACAATGCTAATTAAGAATACAGGAATGTTATTCTGCTTATATTAAAATATTTTTAATGACAGTCTGATAAACTTTCAAATAACATTCACAGATCTTAATTAAATTTACACCTTATGTCATGCACCAATTCTCTGTATAAAGAATATTTTTTTAAAACTGAAAGTTCAATCTGAGCTTCATATTGGACAAGTGAAGATCAAAATTATACCAACAACTTTTGATCTAGCTCCATACACAGATTGTACTGAAAATTGATTGGGAAATCTTGAAGCCTACACATGTAAATAGAAACAACCTCCATAATGCATTCATGTTACACATTCTGTGCAAAAACACAAAATGTATAAGTTCACACACAAGTCACTGTACAGAAGGGAAAGATTACTTTGGATTTCTTGGACAAGCCTAAACTCAAGCAAAACAGTGTGTAATAATACCAACTCTATGCTCTATGAGTAACTTTTCAGCAACATATTTTTATCTGCAGTAAATAAACATCAATGCCAATAAGGTATGCACATGTGGTAACTGTATATCATTGCTAACATTAGTTGGTCTTATGTGCGATTATCAACATTACAGAAAAATAGTACTCCAATTTCTGCATGTATTAAATCTTTCTGAATCACATACAAATATGAAACAATTTGTAACAATTCAATCTAATAACTCAGGCCAATCAATAAAAGTAGCAATGGCAAGCTGAAGTGTTACAGCATGCTACATTCTCCCCACTTCTGCTATGATTAGTTTATATGCCCCTATTTATGCCAGCTGGATGGCTTTGGGTCATTACAATCTGACTTTCAGACCATGTGGTACATCATCTAATCATTATCAGTACTGTCAGTCAATATAAGTAATGGACAAGAAAACAGAAAATAAACAGAACAAACCATACATGTATAAAATAACAGCACACATTGACTCTCAACCATCTAACAACCGGCTCATTCACACATTACTATCAGCTGCAGAATTTATTTAAGTTTGAATAAGATGACACGATGACTGTGGACTGAACTAGAACCTTCTTGAGGGACTGAGAAAATAAATGGAAACTTCAGACAAAATACAGCAGCTGAGATTAGAAGATGTGTGTCAATGTTACAGCTAACCTCTTTAGCATAACTACAATAAAGTAGACCTGTTTTATGTAAGGCACATGAAGCTACCTTGCAGGCCTCTCAAAGCTTGTATTTAGAACCAGGAATATTAAAAGTGTTTCTACAGATATATGACAGTATTATCAAAGTACTTCCTTAAGATTTTATTTATTCTCTTCATAAAAAACATTATAAAACTTTTTAGATGTCATCTGTCTTTGTCTTCAGATAGGAGGAAAGCATACCTACTTTGTGAGGACCATTAGATAAAGCTAATTCCTTTGCTTATGTTCCATGCCTAATAAGTTTAATTTGATATGCCATAGTCATGATTAATATTTTCCTGCTACTTCCCACTGAGATTTGTGTATCTTTCCCATATGATTTGCTGCAGTGCCCAGTGATAAGAACTAGCTTTATTAAACACAGCCTACAGAGTAGGTATCCTGAAAGGGACAGACACAGTTCTTAAAAAAGAGTTGTAAGCTCTCTCCATAACTGTATCCACAAAAGTCCACCAACCATTCATATCTGGCAAGCATGTTCCTAAGATATTTATTTTGCTTGACACTGGTATTTCGAATGCATGAGTTTTACAGCATATGAAACAGGAAGATGATCATAAATGGTCAGTACATCAAGATTTTGGAAGCCACAGTGTTGGCCTGTCTCAAAGTACTATCATGGACTAGAGACACTGAGAAAAACCAAAAAGTCTCAGTCAACAGAGCTGGTAAATTGGTAAAGATTCAAACTGGATATATCCCAGTGTTACTACATCTACTGCTTAATCCAAAATTAACAAGTTCTGTTAGAATGTATAACTATATTCAACAAACAACATTCACTTTCTGTTTATCTGGTTATTTCACAGCACTATATATTGACTGTTAAACTCATACAGCATTGAACTGGACATAACAAGGAGATGGTAAACGATGAAGAATGAGGGATGTGTGGGTAGTTGTGGTCTATATTATGCTACTAACCTACCATTTCATGGGAACAATAATGAACAGCACAAAAGTCTGTCATGATAATTTGTCTCCAACCAAGGCTTGAACACTTTGCCTCTATGTTAAACACTCCAGGCACAGCCTAAACTAATTTGTTCATAATTGGCCAAAACATTATTTCAGTCACTAGGCAGAGATGCAGGCATAACCCCTCTCTGTGTATTCATTTATGTAAGTAAAGTAAAGCTGTCCCACTATGCGCCATGTAGGCGCTTGGAGGGAGAGAGGAGGTATAGCTCCTACTCATTCTTGACCTCGGCACTAGATGGGGGTGAGTGGTCAGCATCACGCCCTGTGTATTCATTTATGCACTTCTAGAAAAGTTTAAAAGAATATTAAATGGAAACAGTTTGACACTATCTGCTGAATGCTGAAACATCTTCATCTCTTTCTGAAACTGAGATCAGATAACAGCAACTGAATCTACTGGGAAAGAACTGGTTTCATTTAGTAAATATGACACAGCATAAGTGTTTACTTAGAAAATAAAAGCAGGACAAAGATATGATGTAAGACAAACAAAGCATATTTCTTATGGAATGACATTTCAAGAACTTTTAATCAAAACCAAAATTAGGTCTCTATATACAACAGTTTAGGCCACTGTCTTAATACTAGAAACCTAATCTTTAGCATACTTCATGTTGCTGTTGTGGTTAATTACCTACCCAGCCACTGCATGTTTTGGTAATACCAAAGGAATCCATTTATGAGATGGAAACACCTATAAGGCAGATTCTGGTACTCTCAGTGATAGGAATGGTAATAGCGAAACCAGAACTACTGCTTAACACAGCCCTTACACCAGGACAGGGACTAAACACTATTCATATTCATCAACTATTTTGACCAATGTCAAAGGTAAAAGGTATGTGAAAGAATACAGACATGACTTTTAGCAAGAAAGTCCAGTGCCTTACCCTACTGATTTAACATAACAAAGTCAAAATAAAAAATGTTTATTACTTATTTGAGCAATATTATTACTTACATAAGAGGGTACTTTCGGTTTTATACACTTCACCTTGGACAAGTTGTCTGACGGGATAACCTCCCATCAGCAGCAACAGACCCTAGTTTGAATGGTCGAGGCTCCCGCCACGACATAAGCCCGTTAGCATAAGCAAATTCCTGTTTTAGTTATAAGGTTCTGTTTACCATTTCCAGCAATGCATTTCGTATGCAGGAATGGTGTTACCTAGCACGGGACAATGTCTTGTGCTTGCGCAGAACTTTGCCTTTAGTTAGCAGTTGGTTGAGAGCAAAGGGCTGAAGGTGGAGGAAGGAAAGACTATATACAGATATATATATGCATACTGTACCCACTTCCCCAGTTTTAGTTTCCCCACACTTTGCAATATAGTATCCATGCATATTTGTCATTGAATTTGAGATGTAATTATGGTTATTAGGCATAGAATACACATTTCAGATACTGAATTTGCATTTGTCTCAATGCAAACCATTACCCACAGCAACTGACCATTTAGATCCTGAAACATAAAAGGCTTCTGAGATTGGTTTATTTGCTCTTCCAGGGTCGAACTGGGTTTTTGGGATATGTAAATCGGTTGAAATACACGCGGAAATGATACTGTTCTTACACGTTAAAAACAGATTGTGAACAGCAGACATATATATTTCTTTGCTCTCTGTACAGTCCTCCAAATGTTCCGAAACAGACTTTCTTTCTTCCATGACTAACTGCAAATAAAATTACGCAAGAAACACATCCTAGTCTACGTTTCAGAAAATATTACTACTTTTATTAGTCATACGTTAGTCATCCGAGGATTTCACAACAGCACATTCCCTACAATACAAACTGCAAAACAAGATAAAAATACAAGAAATGCTATGGATCTATAAGAATCATAAAAATTAAATCGTTATAATTTTTATAATAAAAATTAAGCCACGTTGGAGGTCACACCAAAGCATGTGTATGATAAATTACTTGCTAGTTTCGGTTCATGGAAACTGAACTTGGGACTCATGGGAAAATATAATGAAGGGTAACTTCTAACTCTTCACTATTTTACTCACCTGTACCGACGCTAGCCACCCTTTGGGCCGGCGCTTAATTGATGACGGAATGGTGAATGGTTTTTAAACACTTTAAGAATTAATAAGGAAAATTTGTTTTTCGAAAAACCTGCCAGCTTTACGAGTAGAAATTATACTGAACCACCATGCTGGGCTCGAGAGCAACCTGGCGGCCAGTAAATTAACTATAATGGCCTCGTAGAACTACTTTCAGTGAATGAAATCAATGCGCCTGCCACAAATCGATTTCTTCTTATTTCAGCAGAGGTTCTCTGGTTACGAATTTACGAACGTAGAATTCAATGCTATTAATGAACTCATTACGACGTTTTCCATCATATTCTTCCCACACACATATAAACGCACACATGCAACAATATGTTTCAATATCGGAAATTTTCTAAAATTCTTGTTAAAGGTTTACAAAGCGATTATCAATAATTAATTAAATGTAACAATATGTGGATTCAGTTATGCCTAACAGTTAACTCAATATTCACAAGAGCCCGCCACTGTTCCCTATCCTGGACCAGATGAATTCCTCGTATTTGTTCAGGATCCAAATTAATATCCTCCCATATACGCCAAATCTAACAATAATGATCTCTTCTCTTCAATATTTCCTTCTGAAATTTTGTATGCATTTTCTATCCCTTCCATAGAATAGAACTATTTATTCACATTCCATTGATTCTTCACAGGCCCAAGCAGACGATGTAGAACATTGCATAGCACTTGTTCCAAATACAAATATAAATTACATAGCTACTTTACAATCAACTACAGTATTATCGCAAAAATAATTATACCGATTGTTAACATGTACTTGTAATAGCTGATAATTTCAGGTTTAGGTAAATTTTTCTATGGAGTAGAAAGAGTGAGATAGGAGATACGTACTCTTTTATGATGGCTTAAACTTTTTTATATCGTGATTCAGACATTTTATGGTGGCGGGAAGATTGTTGAATAATTTAATTTCAGTATAGCAAATTACTTTTGATATTTAGTGAGTTTAATGTTTAGCATATGAAGGTTATATCTGTATCTTGTGCTTATACAGGTAGCCCTCGATTTGCGCCGGTTCAATTTGCGCCGATTCAGAATAACGCAGATTTTGAAATCAGAAAGTCAAAAAGTGAAAAAAATACTATTATTTATAACGTTTTACAGTGTTTCTCGTACTGCTTCTTGTGCTAAATCGTAATTCTTACGTCATTGATATTGAATAAAAATTATAAATACAGTCATATCTGCAATTACGCACGTTTCGTTAATGCGAATTTGCTCCAATGAGATCGATGAATCAGTAAAAGCTGTTTGTGAAATGCAAACTTTTGCATATGCGAGTTTGCTCTCATGCAATTTCATTCCTGGCGCTTTAAACTTTCAAAGGACTAATTTAATCTCTGCGGAGGTACCGGGGTTATTTTTACTACGCGATTTTCTATAGGTCGGCGTCTTACATGAATGCAACTATCGCATGACAGCAGAGATGACTGTACACATCAATCACATGAAAGAATCGCAGTCAATCGCGGGGACCAACGAATTGCCGATTGTAAGTGTATAAAATACATTTTTTAAATACCCTTTATTTTATTTACGTTATTTCAGAATTTTAAATGTTATGTCATTATATTACTCATCAATGCCATTGACTTCCCATTGATTTACATTATAAAAGAGTTTCAATTTACGTCGATTCCAATTATGCCAGGAACAGATCCCAGGCGTAAATCGAGGGATAACTGTATTGTGGATATCTGAGGTTGTTTGAAAATTTTTTGTTGTGCACTGAAAACGATAATAATGAGAGTAAGAATTCGCTGGCTACCGGAAGATTGTTGAATGTCTTAATTCCTTACACGAGGCTCTCTCTATAGTGCCTGACATTATTCTAACAATTTTCTTTTAAATGCAGAATACCTTTTTGCTGTCTGTTGAGTTTTCTCAGAAAGTAATTCCATATGACATGGTCGAATGCATGTAAGCAAAGTAGACTAACTTTAAAGTTGTTGTTTTCGTGAGTGATGTGATAATCCTCATAGCAAAGCACACCGAGCTTAGTTTATGCATAATGTACTGAATATGTATTTCAGTTTTAAGTTATTGTCAGTTTGTAGGCCGAGAAGTGTAGTTGTTTCTACTTCTTCCATTGTTTTATCCTCATACCCCACACCAAGATTAATAAAAAAAAATTGGTAGCACAAAATTTTACTAAATTTGTCTTGTCAAAATTTTATGAGAGCATGGCTTACCAGTATAACTGTTTAAATATGGAGGAACATTACTGAAATTCCGCTAATCATACTTTTAAATATGGGTTTGGAAAAAAAATTCCCATGGAATGGCACACAGTCAAAGTGATCTCAGTTTTCAAATAGCAGACAAATAAATGTGATAATTACAGAGATATAAGTTTACTTAACACAACATACAAAATTTATTCACGCATTACACATGCTAGAACAAAATATATAGCTGAAGCTTTTCTGACAGAAGAACAAAACGATTTTCAAGTACGCAGATCTTGTTTAGATACTATTTTTATATTAAAACAGATAATAGAAAAATGTCGAGAATTTAATTTGTAGATTCACTTGGCATTTGTGGACTTCGAAAAAGCGCTTGATCGTGTGACCGCCTTATGTTATGGGATATACTACAGAAAACAGGGTACTGAGAGCATCTTATTAAAGGAGTGCGAAGTCTATATGCCGGTCAAAAAATTGTGAGATACGAATAAAAGAATAACACAGAACATTTTAATAAAGGAGTTAAACAGGAATGTATCTATTTCTCGATTTTTTTAAATATATATTTAGACGACAAGAAAGAAGAGACAGTTCATAAGGAAATAAATATAGGAAATAGATAATTAAACATGCTGCTGTTCGCAGATGATGTGGTTTTAATATCTGATGAGGAAGAGAGGCTACAGAGAGCAATGTCTGAGATAAATAAAATTAACAAAGAATATAATATGAAAATACCAACAAGCAAAACAAAAGTAATGGCATTCCACAGAAAATGTCCAACCAGAACGAAAATTATTATAGATTATATTCTGATTAATAAATATCGCATTTCAAATAATTTTGCTGTGATGTGACTTATGAAAGAGGGCCAACACATAAATCACAAGGTTAAAAAATGTCAGGCTATTTGTGGCTCAATTCGAACAAGACCAAATGGGAAGACGAGACAAGATACACAGCTAAGATTTTATTTCGCTGTGGCTCTTCCTGTCTTAATGTATGGCAGTGAGGGATGGACAGTTACAAGCAAAGAAATACGTTTCCTAAGGTCAGTCGAAGGATGTGCAAGACAGGGACATCTCAGAAATGAATTGGGAATAGAGCCAGAAACACAGAAAATAATAAAATACAGAGAAAATGGAAAACACATAGAACGAATGGCAGAAGAAGGAATACGAAAAGAAATCCCGGAAAACTGAACAAAAGAGACCGGAACAGGCTATGTCTTAATTAACGAATGACAATAAATACCATTAATGGCATTTTTGGATAAAATCGAGTTCAAAAACATAATTTATTCTATAGTAGTAAATCATGGCGGACATTTTAAAGTTAGACTTAAGCAATCCCCTCAATGCTGGCTTTCATTTAAAGAAATTTTCTTTAAGATCCACAAGTACCTAGAGCTTTAACTGATGAAAAGTGGCAGGACTTGTCTCTTTCACAGGCAGTTTCAAACACCAAATAAACCCATACCAGAGAAGTCAATGTTTCTAAAAGATTAAACTCCTTAGAAATTAAAGAGGTCCTAAGAGACTATGAATGAATAAATTAATTCAGTGTCC